CTGCTGAACAGAGTAGCCCACTAATGAACTGAAGAATCATATCGCAAATAATCCAATAGATGCAAATAGACCATGACTCATTTTCTACAAATGGAAGATCGAAATCATTGATCCCATGTATTTTGTCTCTGCGGATTAGGTATCATTCACACAAAACATGCATATGCAGTGTAATTATTACCATATTAATATCCCAAATATATTCTACAACTTCAGCATACCTTGAAATATATAGTGTTTTCCATTCTTTAAATAAGAAAGTGAGCTACATTATAGACATCTATTTTTAAGCTCATGAGTACACTAAGCAATCAAAAAACTGACTTGTCATTCCTGTAGCACCATTCTTGAACTCTATTGTTGAAAACTAGTTGATTTTTCCCCAGTCCTAAACAAATGTAATTTTATTCCAATTTTAAGGCTGTATACAAACATTTGGGGAGGTTACAGGGAAGTTAAATCAAGTTAAAAATGGGCATCTGATGCAACTTAGTTTGCCCAGGTGTGGACCTTGAAGTAGTTAGCTGGATCATTCTAAGTGCAAACTGTACAGAAGTTCAGGACAGTTAGATAGGTCTAAAAATGGCCAACCTAATCTAAGTTAACCCAACCTCTAAAATACACTCAATTTAGATGAGGTTGGCCATTTTTAGATTGATCTAACTGTCCCAAGCTTCTATATAGTTCCCAGCACAGACCCAGAGATGGGAAAGCCCAGCCTCTGGCTCCAGCCCTAGGGCTCTTCCTCCCCACAACACACATACTCCAGATGAAGGACAACCCCCGCCCACCACCACTACCCCGCTAAACCCCACATCCCACAAGCTGCTCCCCATGCCACTTTACCAGCATTTGTCTGTGTCAGAAACTGAGGAAGTAACTTGGAGTGGACAGGATGGCAGAACAGGGGTTGGTTCACCACGTGGGAGGGTTTGTTTGTCTGACAGTCAGGAGGACCCTGGTCCCACCAAACTCTCCTATAGACCCCACTAGGCCCTCTAATCCCCCTGTGGATTCTGCCTCGCCCGCCAATTCCCCAATCCCCGACAGCCCCACTCAAGACCCTGGCTGCCTTCCCCAGTCCTCCCTGCTAGCCCCCATCCCAACTTACCTTCAATCAGGTGGCCATTTTTAACTCAACCTAACCCCCTTAGCTCCCCAAATGTCTGTAGATAGTCTAAATTTTGTAAGTGCCCAAGCTTTTTTATCTTTAAATAATTCTGTTTGCCCACTGCTTTGGGGACATTCAGAAGTCATTGATTTAACCCACATTGTTTTATGGAAAGCTCCTTCCAAAAGGAGAGACTAGAGTTACTCATGATCATCTAGAATTTAAAAAGCAAGTCACTCTGATACTACAGCGTACTAAACCTGCAGAACTTGTCCGTGTCAGATTGTCAGACTAAAACCTGTGGAAATAGAATTGCCATAATAAAGTCATAACAAAATGCAGCAGTACCGTTTTAGGCAATGGATTGATCTAGTAAGAATACAATCTGTTTTGGAATTTCTAGGCCTGTAATATTAGATACATAAACATGTGGGTTTAATACAATAATAAATGTGATAATAATTGTTAAGCACTATTTTCCAATACAACTCCACAATGCAGACAATAAAGGCAACTAACTTTGAAATCAGTAAGAGGGAAGTTCACTTGAGACTTAAAAACAAGAATAAAGACTCCTGGTTATAGCCATGCATATCCTTGTCCTCGGTTTGTGATTCCCTACCATGTTGTTTCATGACATCTGTGGGAATTGGTGAACAACTCTGGAGGTGGTAATAACCATCTAAAGACTTTGCTTCCCAAACGTAAATCTGCTATTGGACCTAGCCTTGTTCTTTCCTGAATTCAAAGGAAGTGTCAAATCCCCATGGATTTCAGAAGGAAGCATTCCCAAACAGAGCCATATATACACATGCTTCAGAGCAAAATTCAGTGCTGGTAAACAAGTGTGTCATAATATTTTTTTGACTACTATTATGCAGCCTCTGTGGAGACGTGCTGTTCGAATGCAGGACTATGATTAACATTTAAGTGTTTCAGCAGTTCTGAAACTGCCTACTCTCATGATTTTTCTCCTCATGAGGTTTGAAAAATGTGGTGCCTTGCTTGCAACCCCAGATCTTAAACTCAGGTAAATATAAGTCAGCTTTCACATTTGTTTTCTAGTCCTCAATTGCCAACAAAAGATGGAAAAATAGTGAATCTTCAAAGCTGAAGAAAAAGATCCTATTACTATTTTCTTTAATATTATGATTTTTTAATAACAGCAAACCAGGTTTTTTCAACGGGTGGGGTTGAATATAGGATAGAAAAACCATATATATGTTGGTAAATCTGTTTTGCAGAAAGTCTTGGCCTTGTGCTCTCTTAGTAATTAGCCCAAACACCACAGAAAATGGCCCTTTTTCTGTGTACTTTAAATAAAATGGGTACATCCAGAGCAGTGGGCACGTGCATTTCTCCAGGGACAAAACTTGTCACCAGGGAATGTCCCTGCACGAGCACTCTGGTGTGCAGCAAATTGCCCCAGGTGAGGTAAGAGAGGCCGGGCCCAGTAGCTGTGCTGGCCCCAGCAGACCTACCTGGCATCCTCCCGGGGCTGCAGCAGTGGAGATCCAGGTGCCCAGAGCCTGGCCAGCAACTGAAGCGTGGCTCTGGCCAGCCAGACTCCGGTTTTGGGTGACATGCTGCACCCACGTGTGCCACCCCACTTTTTTTGTTGTGTTTGTTTTAGATCCTGGGATTTCCTGGGATTTAATTATGGCTCCACGCTGCAAATATGCAGCACAGAAAAGCTTTTCATATGCACTGCATGCATTTTGTGGTGCCTTCAAAGGTTTTTGCATCTGGACGCACCCAATGGCTCCAAGTCCACTGTGGTGTTGCAGTTGTTCCTCTATGTTTTGGTTCAAAGCCAAAATACTATCGTGGTCTTACCAACCTGAAATAAAAGTAATCTCAGTGGAAGGGCATCTTGTTTTCTCCTCCCTCTAAGGAAAACAAAACATTCCTAAAGTTTGCCACTGAAGAATCAATGCAAATCTGTTTCCCTGAGAACTATATTACGACTTTTAGATTATAAACAAACAAGGTTGTTACTGGGGCTCTATGAGACATGGCAGATGCTAAAAAACTTTTAATAATCCCTGCAATCCAAAGGCATTATTATCAAAGAGCTGTATTTCATACAACATAGTGTTCTGCTCTACTTTTGAATTGGTTTCTTGGCTTCTTTATTGATACATGAAGTTATTCATCTGGGCCATATATTCTCCTTATTTAAGCCAATTTTTGATAATTTTAGTATTAGATAAACATATACTTGGCCTGATGTGCAACCATCTGTGTTGTACATCTCATTTGTGGGATGAATTTCCACAGCTTCCCCATGGCTATCCTCAACCATGGTGCTATATTTCCCACATGTGGTGCTTGTTCTTCAATTCAATTTTGGTACATTGAACAAATCAGATGGAGTAGCCAGATTTGATAACTTGGTATGACTTAAAGAAACTCCTCTGAAACTAGTGGAACTTCAGTACTATAAACCCAGTATAGGAAGAAAATCAGATTCTGTGATCTGATGACTAATTAATATGTTTTCTCGAAATACCTGAGAAAAATGCAGGTTCTCTCTCCAAAATTGGATGTCAGAGCACATCAGCCTCCTTTTTATACAAGAAAACAGTGAATCCTTTAATAAATTCATAATAACACAATTGTAACCATAGCATCATCACAGCTCCATCATGATCTGGTGTTTAATATTTCATGTTAGGAAAGCTAGAAAAATCTCCCTGTTGCACCAGTATTTCAGTTTTGACCTCGACATTTCAGTTTACTGTTACACATACACAAACACGTGCCAAGTAGCTCTCTAGACTCTTCTTTAAAAATGTATTTATAGCACTCAGCCCCAGAAGTCATCAAAACCAAACAAGACCACTGGAGCAAGAAGTAAATACTTCCACGTGTTTGTCATACTTTAAGAAACAGTTTTGGTTTAGGTTTATTTTCTGCTGGTTTCTGTGTTTAAATTAGGTTCATCTGTGTTTTTTCCAGTATCATATGTAATCTGCATTTATGCATGTGTTTTCCACTCATTGGAAAGACTTGCTTGGATGGAGGTTATCAATCCTTGCAAGCCCTTAATACTCAGTGATCACACCAACATTTTTATTCTATACCACAAAGAGAAAAGTTGATGTGTGGTTTCTTTGCACTCCTTCCCTCTTTTACTAAGCTTTAGAGTGGGAAACCAGGCATCAAAATGCAAAATCTATGCAGTATGTGCCATAACATGCAAGGGATCTATGACTCCGAATACTGCATTGTAGAAACATTATCAAAAGGTTTCCTTTTCTGTCCTCTGCCTTCAGTCTTATAATAGGCCCCAGAAGCATCCTCTCCCTGACAGAAGTTGTCAACCTGCCATAAAAATTGGCTAATACAATATTAGCTGACAAGACACTGCATAAAAATTGTCCAAAGTAAAAACTGTCAAAAAGTTTTAAATGCTTGTTGTAGGCTGATGGTAGGAGACCAAGAACACCAACAGGTTTATAACAAATAAAAATTAATGACTTGTTACCCTTCTCCAAAGAGAGTAATAAAAGTCTTTCCTGTTTACAGTGCTTAACAGGGTTCAGATCTTTGTCACACAGAGGCCAAGCAGCTATCAATAGAGAAACAGGAAATATTTGCTTGTCCCTTCTCCCATCACAAACCTATTAATAATTAACCTCACCAGGTTCCTCCACTGCTAGACTA